ATATAATTTTGATTTCCTCCCCCTCCTTGTCTCTTTTTTTGTGTGAAGAGCGCAGTCTTTCACTTAATTTGGTTTGAGGCAGTTGGGATTATGAAAGAATTCAAAACCAAATAAATAAGAGGCAAGAAAATACCTTATTTAGTTTTCTAAACTAATTTGCTGTGCTTGAGAAGGAAGCATCTCAGGTGGACCTGTGGTATATTTGGACTCATAATTTATCAAGTTGCTGCTTCCTGCCAAAATACCCTTTATGTTCACTTTTCACAATGAGTCAAGTAGATATATCTTGTGCTGCTAAATTGTTAGTAAAAACCACTTAGAAGATTTATGATGCAGTTTCAAATCAAAAAGGAAATTGATACACAGATCAGGATGATGTAAGGGCCCTAAGAGTCCCCCTTTTGTGTAATGTGGCTTGCATCATTCACTGTGTTTGTCCATTTCCGCTACCTTGCATACTTGAGATAAAAAAACTGGTGTCGGTTTCCAAACAACTTTAAATCTTGTTGCAATCTCAAATGTGGCTAGAGGCTAGTAGACATAGTAAAAGCTCATTTGTGCCTTGATGTTATACTGATTAGTTTAAAACAATTAGCAAATGTGATTTTAAAGGTTATAGCAGTTGGATCTCAATAATAATAATAATGTTTAATGTATTGTCGAAGGCTTTCATAGCCGAAATCACTGGGTTTTTGTGAGTTTTCCGGGTTTTATGGCCATGTTCCAGAAGTATTCTCTCTTGACGTTTTGCCTGCATCTACAGCAGGCATCCTCAGAGTTTGTAAGGTCTCACAACCTCCATGAGACCTCAACTTCTGAGGATGCCTGCCATAGATGCAAGTGAAACGTCAGGAGAGAACACTTCTGGAACATGGCCATATAGCCCGGAAAACTCACAATAACCCATTATTATGTTTATTTTACCCTGCTTTATCTCTTCAAAGGAGACTGAAAGCGGCTTCCATTTGAATTGTGTTATGTATTTGCTCAAGAGTTGGAAATGTACACCTTTCAGATGTTATTGAGGAGCAATTACTATTGTTCTTCACCATTTACTGTGATAGCTACAATTATGCATTCCAGAGGGTACTACACTTCCCACCCTTGTTCAACTCATAATTAGATTTTCGCTTGTGACAAAGCAACTTGACAAACAAGGAAATATTATGCTAAGCATGAGGAAAGTGTGACCCTCTCAGTGATGTCACCCTGCAACTCCATGTCCTGCACTATGGGCTATATCAGGCATGAGCAAACTTCGGCCCTTCAGGTGTTTTGGACTTCAACTCCCACAATTCCTAACAGCCAGTAAGCTGGGCTGTACTAATGGAAGTTACAGCACATTAACACCTGAAGGGTCATGGATGTCTCTTCCCTTCTTTATGGACAAAATTCTTATTTCTTGAGATTTGATTGTGTAGTTTTCATAGGTGTGGCCTGCAGTTTATAATATATTGAAAATATTCACTTGCCAATATATTGAATCTCATATTTCTTCATTTAGCACCTGCAATTTGGTGAGCTGAGTACCATCTCATTTTGAGGATATGATATAAAACTGAGGGTATTTTCCTTTGGCAAATTGAACATGGCAGGGAAGGAGACCTTATTTTGATCAGCTTACATGTACAAAAGATCTAGGCTGGTAGATGATGCAGAACAAGAAACTTGATTAAGAGAAAAAAAATATTTCATACCATAATCTTCCAAGTATCTCCACCAGATCCAGATCTATAAAACTTTAAAAATTGTTTAATTTCTAACATTGGAACACATAAATATGCAAGAGTGGAACTGGCCAACTGAAATTGTGATGGGAAGTGAAAGGTGCAGCAAAGAGGCAAGTAAAAACATTTTGAGGGGATGGGACCAGAGTAAGGATTTCTGTAAAGCTTATCTGAGGATATCTAAGGAACTGATGGTGATAATGAGACTCATTTTGTTATTTTGCTTCAGCTACCTAATTTAGAACCAGTGATGAACAAAATAATCATACCTTTTTGACTTACAGTGGCAGATTTCTGAATTGAAATGGCACGGTGTCACCACATCCCATAGCAGCTTTGTTGTGCTAGACATGGTGATGGTTGGTATACATTGCCTCCCTGGCATGGAAAGATAAGGGGATTACTCATGAGTGCCCAAATTCCTATTTCTTGCATGTTGCTTACACATGTAGTATTGTCAAGATGCAGGTGGAATGGAAGGAACCATGAGAGAATAATCTTGCCCCACCTTGTCAGCCTATCAAAGGAGGCTGGGGGGGGGGGGGGAGAGGTTTCTTAGCTTTCAGATTTTGATTTCATTTGAGGAAGCAGTCTGGTTGATGGGAACATTTAACTTCCTGCAGTGACACTTCTACAACATTTAAGTAAATTAAGGACTAATCATTGAGAAAGTGGAAAGCAGTGCTATTAGATTAAGCAGTTAAAACCAAGAAATGAATGAGATCAATATAACATTGAGAGATTTTGAAAGAATTAAATATCCTGTTTTGAAGATTAAGAAGTAAATAATTTTAAACATCGGAGGAGGGGGGATTTATTTACTTCTTGCCTGATAAACCAAGGTATCATAAGAATCTGAAGAAAGCCCCGCCATTCATGCCTCAGAAGGCATGAAGCCAAGATCCAAAGACCACTGAACTATCAGAAGAATCAGCATGGCCTCTGAGTTCATGAACTTGATGGTTGGAGAAAAAAGCAGAGCAGAGGCAGTCAATGATGCTCCTTGCTAAGCAGAATGAAATCGACTCCTGATTAGGGTCAATTGGTAGCAGCCCATTGTAAGAGCCAGCTCTGGTTGGTGCCAGTTTCTAGAAGCCTCTCAGAATCACAGAGTTGGAAGAAATCACAAGGGCTATCCAGTCCAACTCCCTGCCCTGTAGAAATACACAATCAAATCACTACTGACAGACAGCCATCCAGTCTCTGTTTAAAACCCTCCATAGAAGGAGAATCCACCACACACTAAAATCATATCCCACTGTCAAAGAGCTCTTGGCATCAGGAAATTCTTCCTAATAGTCAAATAGAATGTCTTTATCTGCAGATTCGTTGCTTTGTGTCCTAATCTCTAGAGCAGCAAAATACAAGCCTGTTCCATCTTCAATATAACATCCCTTCAAATATTTAAATAATGGCTATCATGTCACCACTTAACTTTCTCTTTTCCAAGCTAAACATATCCAACTCACTAAGCGGTTTCCAGGCCTTGGGTAGTTTTTGACACAGTCCAGCTTGTCAGTATCATTCCTCAATTGTAGTACTGAAAACTGGACACGGTATTTTAGGTGATGTCTGACCAAAGCAAAATAGAGTCCCTAAGCTACAGACATTCAACTTGCATGCACTCATAGTTAAGAACAGGGGCGAGACAACAGAAACAGAGGAAATCTACCCCAGGGAAGGAAATCTACTGTAGGAATTGTCATGGAAAAAAGGTGTCTCCACTGAAGCTTTATCACAAATCCTTGTTTCCATGACAACTCGAAATTTTCAAAATCTTATTGTTACAGAGTCAGAAAGCGAGGTGACATCTGAATGAGGAACAAGGTAGCAAAAGAAATGTTACTGGAGTGTTAACTCTTCCCTATGCTTTCCAAAACTACACAAAAAACAAATTGGCTGGAGTTACACTTTAAAAAGTGCCTGTTCCAACTTACATACAAATTTCCAGGGATTGCCTGTATCACTTTGTGAGATAACTTTTAGCTCTTATTTTTTATTCTGTAATATACCTTGCTGATATGGGAGAATAAGGGGATACATGAGAGCATACAGTCATTGAATAGTTCTGTATGTAGAAATGCAATAGTTAATGATATTATATGAACACAATTATGATTCTGACCCAGATAGTATTGGGGGGGGGGGGGTATCATTAGTAGAATTTGAAAAATACCAGGAATTGATTCTATGTAGAAGTTCATTTTAAATATGTCTGAGAAGAAGCAGGATATGTGAGAAGTGTTTTTAGCCATTAGCTGGGAAGTTGGAATCATTTGGGTTGTTGTAGGTTTTTCGGGCTGTATGACTATGTTTCTAGAACATGGCCATACAGCCCGAAAAACCTACAGCAACCCAGTGATTCCGGCCATGAAAGCCTTCGACAATACTCAGAATCATTTGTTCCTCTTCCTTTGTTTTTGTTTAAGGTATGTATGTTTTGGTGTACTATTGGTATTTTGTATTTCATTGGGTGTTTTTTAATCTTTGTATGTTTTATATATATAAATGGTGTGTGAAATACACACACACACACACTAGCTGTACCTGCCACGCGTTGCTGTGGCCAACCTTCCCTCCCTCTTTCTCTTTTTTCTCTCCTTCTCTCCCCCCCCCCCTTGCTTTCCTTCCTTCCTTTCCTTTTCCTTCCCTTTCTTTACTTCCTTCACCCCCCCCCCCCCTTTCCCTTCCTCTTTCTCCCCTTTATTCCTTCTCTACCTATTCTTGGACTGCAACTCCCAGCAGTCTTTCTGATCAATCTATCGACCTACCTACCTACCTACCTACCTACCTACCTACCTACCTATCTCTATCTAATTTATCTATCTGGAGGATTGCTGGGAGTTGCAGTGCAGGAATAGGAAATTGGAAATATGCAGAGATTGGGATGGTCTCAAAGAAACCCAAGGAGAAGAAAGCTTGCAGCTTGGAAACAATGCATTTGGAGCATCCTCCTCCCCTAAAGGGCCTGGTCTAAGGGATGCTGGGAGCTGTAGTCCAAAAGAGAGTGTGGATATGCTATTTTGTGTTTTGTTTGCCGGTGAGTTGTTTTTGCCCATGCACTGTTGTGTCTTTTTGCTTTTTTGGCTTTTTAAGTCCCTTCTGCTGTCTCCCCCCCCCCCCAAAGTGTTTTTATGAGTGATGAACACTCATTGACCTGATATGTGTATTGTGTCCAAATTTGGTGTAAATTCATCCTGTGGTTTTTGAGTTATGTTAATCCCACAAACGAACATTACATTTTTATTTATATAGATAAATATTAAAATAACTTGGTGGCTTATGCTGCTGATGACTTCTTTATAAATGGCAAATTTTCCTCAGTAATACTATTGAGGCATTCTGTAGTATATCATCAAGCAAGGACTGGGGGAATTGTGCTAATGTGAATTTTTGGTTTGGTTATAAAAGAGACAGTTGCTGAGCATGTCTGTTGTGAAATATTCATGTATCTAGGCTAGAATATTGATTGATATTAGGTACTATAATAAACCGATACCACTCATCCAAGGTCTTTATGTTGCTCTCAGATAGTCGTAGAAATTTATCACTTAATTAAGTGATAATGTAAAAATGTTGTGTGTGTGTCAGACTTTTTTGGTTTCTGGTTCATCTTGGATCTTTCTTTTCCCATCTACTTGGCACACTAGGTTACAGTAGATTCCAAACACTAGGATCCTGTCCTTTATTAGACCACTGCTTCTAAAACTATGAGTCCCGACATCAAATTGTTAGCTCAGTGTTAGAGTCACAAAAAAATTGACATCAGTAAACATTTTCTGAACTTCACCTAATGAATGGTTTAGACATTTACATGAATCTATGGTGCAGTGTTTACAGTGGACTGTGCAGAAGATGCTTCAGCTGTGCTTCATAAAAATCAACCTGTTTAGCATGCCTTGCAAATGCGGATTTGTGATCAGTAAATGTTTGCTTTTTAAAATTTATTTTATATACCAAAACTACATACTTGGGGTGACATAAACATTTCTCAGGCCAAGAGGGGTCCCAAGTGGAAAGGTTTAAGAACGCTTGCTTTAGACTGCTATGAAAATTGATGCTCTGGTATACATAGTGAGAGAACATGGGTTATTATTCAACTATGAGGCTTAATTGCACGTCCATATGTTATTGGGGAGACAGACATGTCCGGCTTATTCTTTCTAGAACATTTCAGGAGTTTGGAAAACTCCAGAGCCCTGGAAGAGTATCTTCCCATTTTCATTGCTTAGAATAAAAAGTTAACAAATATATTTTCAGCGAGGTCTTTCTTTGGCACCCTTGGCTACTAGTTATTCTGTATTGATATGTCTGGCCTATGGAGGTTCTGAGCAAAGGGAAGAAGCAATTAGGGCACAAACAGTGGGTTGGGAATTAAAACTGTTGATAAAGCGACCCCTGGTGTTGCTGTCTATAAAGTGCCATATGACCAAAGGTGCAGTTACCTAGTGTATCTGAACTTTGCCCATCCGACAAATGAGGCATGTTATATTCTGCAGAAGGGTTTTCCTTTTATTCAACTTGGTTTGAGGACTGCTTTTTAAAATTCAGAATTGGATTTGGTATTGGAAATTTACTCATGTCCAGTGTCCTTGATGGTATGGGTTGGAAAAAACTCTTGTTGATTGAACTCATGCCACTCCAGGCTGAGAAAAGCTGGTGGGAAACTGGACCTTTTGACACTTTTAGCCAAGGAGATTTGTGGTAATATGCAGTTGCTCTTTATGTGCTGATGGCTTTTCTTGTACAGCTTCATTTCTCTAATCACTTTATTCACTGTATAACAAAAAGTTTACACTATAAATAATGACACCAAGCTCTGTTTTTCCTTTTTATGCAGACCTGGTAGTTCAAACTGGTTAGGAGGAAATGGATGCAGTTGAGAAATAACAAGCATAAAACAAATATGAATAGCACCAAATGTGATGTGTAGTGAGATTATGAGATACAGATATGTGACACCAGACTATTCAGGTTGGAGGAGTGAGCAATAGGTAAGATTTTCGAAAGAACAAAAGTATAGATTAAGGTAAACATTAACTTCCTCGGAGTTAATTCTTCTTTGGACTGTATGTGAATACCCAGCTTAAAGATGGTAAAAATTAATGAACATTTCACTTCAGTGTGCCAAAAAGAAATCCAGTGATAGGTATTTTAGTTGGTATTTTAATATTGCAGCCTTATAACATAATGAAAGTTTTAGAAAACTGTGTACAGCTTCACTTATCAATTTTTTAAAGTGTAAATTGCTTTGATGCTGTGCAAAACTAATTAGTGACAATCATATCTTGTGGGAAAGTGTTCTGCTTTGTATACATATGCATAGTGTGAAAAGGAAATACTAGTCATGTCTGTCCTGAATCTACATCACTTAACTTCATTGAGAGGTACCAAGCGAGGCAAAAAGCATGCCTAGAATCTACTTACACAGAATTGTACTAATACTGTATTTCAGCACATAATAGTTGCACTTTTTAACCTTTCTTTTTTACAGAAAAAGGTGGATGCAACTCTTACATGGCGAAAGGGGTAGGGCAGTTTTTTGTACCCCAAAAAACCAAGCATCCCTCTTCATGTATCTTGCTGCAGTACGTACTGTAAACCACAGCTTTGCTTACTCATCTGCTACCTTTCAGGCACAGCATGTCCTGTGGCTGAGTCTAAAAACATGGCAAGTGAGTGAGTGCATAAAGCGCCACTTCACTTGCCCACATGCCCGCTCACCTTACAGACACAGCACTTCATGTGGCTGAGTGCTTTCGGACTGAACCGCATGAATTGCCATGCTTGAAAAGGGGAAGGTGAATCAGTTGTTTGTGTAGTGCAGCAAGACAAGCAGAAGATAAGTTTAGCTAGGCCGTTTAAGGCAGGGAGGCTGTCTTCTGCTGGCTACACTATGTGCTGGCCGTCTGCCAGTAGTACATTAGGGCGATGAATTAACAATGTGACTATTGTGCAAGGAAAGCAAAAATACCGATTTTTTTACCTCCTAAAATGTTGGTGCGACTGTTACATGGTAGCGACTATTATATGATGAAATATTATACTTCAAAAATAAGCTCTTTAATCACCTTCTATAAACTCTTAAGTCAGGAGCCTGCAACTTTGGTGGGTCTGTGGGTCCTGTGTCCTCTACGGCCACATATTTCCTTCTAGAAATATTGAGGTTTGTGAAGATGTGTGTATTTGTCTTCAGAATTGGAAGTAACTAGAAGTTCAGTTCTGGTTTGGGGAAAATACAGAAACAGTTCCTTTTCACAAAAACAGGAATGGATAAATGCCTCAGTTTAGGGGTCAATAACATGGCGGAATTATTTCCTGCAGGCCTTTTTAAAAGTATAACTTCTGGTCGACTTCCTAATGCAAAAGAAGGCCCTGGAGGCAGGACCTTCTTTTGCATGTAGCAAAATTGCCACCCATGCCCTTTAGCCTAAAATTGGGGGTGATAAAGAACCTTGGGAGCTTTTAAAAACACCTGTGCTTTCCTCTTATCCTTCTTTAGATGAGAATAGCTGCCCATGGGAGCTTCTCGAAGCAAGAGTTTTTGTTTTGTCCTGCTCATCAATCCTCTTGAGTCCCTCTTCGGAGGCTGAGATAGGACGGGATATAAAAGCCCAAAATAAATAAATGATAAATTTTGAACAGAATTCTTTTTCACAGGGAGACACATAACACACACAATTGGCTTGTATTCACTTGTGTTATGTTGCTGTCATAAGTGTTTTATGCTTCCACACAAGAGAAAGGTTTCTTCATCTTTTAAAGATGTCCTTTTGCTATAATTTTACCAGCATTATAGCATCCTTTTTGAGATAACTAGAAATAAACATAGGTTGGATTCCTGTGGGGTTAGTCCCAGAGTAGACAGGTTCAGTTTAGGGTTGCCATGCATCAGAAATGACAACAATAAAGACATTTGATAGATCTGAACAATTCTTTGGTTGAGGTATGTCTTGATTTCGAAAAGGCTTCTAACAAATCCCTCCATTCTTTCTGGCAAGCTGGGGAACCAGTTAACTATAGCTGTTTAATATGCTACAAGTGAAGGGCACACAATAAATGGTTTTACCACTACTTCTGTTTTGGTTTTGGACCTTAAGAGATTTCTCTTTTATGAATTTGGATATCTCTTTATTTTTACAAAAAAAAAAAAATCCCCCAAATATTCGGACGTAATATAACTTATCAAGACTTTACTGTTTTGAAGCCCCAGTAGGATAGCAGCAGCCTGCTAAGATTTAACACTATTTCACCAGCTTTTAAAAAGCTGTGTCTAGAAAAGAGGAGTTATCTTATATTACTATCATTGTTAGTGTTAATACAATGTTTATTGTCATTTCATTAATAAAACTTAAAAGTAAAATTTAGACCATGAATAATGAAGCAATTTCTCAATATCCTTCACAGCAGTTCTAATTCAATATAGAGATGCTCTTCCTCAAATGAGAAATAGGTGGTTTGTGGCAAGAGGAGGAAAATAAATGACTGTTCAAGGCAATGGGCCCAAAAGGTAAGTCTTCAAAAGGAACTGAGGAGAAGTCACAAGATAACTGTTTGTTCATTCAATAAATTCATAAACTAGACTACTACAAATGGAACTTAAGATGTCTTACAAAAAGAACTAATACAGATACATAAAATGAATACAAGCATAAAAAGTAAAATTTAAAAACACCAATAAAAGAAAACCAGAACACAGTACAAGTGACAATATTGACTATCATGCTGGTTTCATGTTACAGCTAGAAATGTAGAAACAACCAAACTTCTGAAATCTAATGACCCGAATTTAAAGAATAAATAATAATAGTAATAATAACAATAACTTTATTTTTATACCCTGCCTCCATTTCCCTGAAGGGACTTGAGATGGCTTACACATGGGACAAATGTCCACAACATTAAAGCAAAACAATGCATTAAAAAAAAAACCAATTAAAATAAAACATAGCAAAGCATAACTATCAAATAAAACACAAAACATAAGGATATAAAACAGCATCATTAAAACTCAAACAATATACAACAAAAAACCAATAACTAAGGTGGGCATGATCAGGGTATAAAGATGGCCGTGCCTGGGATAGTGTGAAACAGCATAGTATAGGGCCAGGGGATTAGAAGAAATGCAGAGAACAGTACTATGGTGAGCTAGGGACTGGGCATTTATAAGTAGGGACTAGTCATTCTCAAATGTTTGTTGGAACATCCAGGTTTTTAGATCCCTACGAAAGGAGAACAGTGAAGGGGCTTACCTAATCTCCCTGGAGAGGGTGTTCCGAAGTCGGGGGGCACCACCAAGAAGGTCCTCTCTCTTGTTCCCACCAGCCATGTGTGTGATGATGGTGGAAGCGAGAGGAGGGCCTCCTCGGCAGATCTTGGAGCATGTGCTGGTTCATCGGGGGGATGCAGTCACAAATCCATTTATTGGGATTTTATTAAGCTTTAATCTACCTAGGTTTCTTGATGTGCAAAAAACAAAAATAAAGGGAAACATCAGTTTTTATATTATGTAGTGGCCCGGAAAAGGTTAGTGGAAGCCAGCTGGTTACTTTCATCTGCAGATAAGATAATTTTGCCACCTAAAGATGAGCTTTGTTCTTTTAGACTCCTTCCAGTTTGGAACTTTATCCAACATTACTTTCCAGCTTTGCTTATATGATTTTCCTTCCTTGCATTTTCCGCTTTCTACAGAGCCTGGATTTAAGTGAGAACTCAATTTTATATTTTAAAAAATGAAGGAATCAGTTACAACTAATGCATTTGTTTTATTTATGAAAGTATTTGTGTCCTACCCACTATATTAGCTTCTCAGGGAAGTGTAAAGTAAAACTGGTATTTGAATGAAAGTGGCAGTGGCTTCCATGTAACTTTGAATAGATTTGAACACATTCCTTAAATGAAACTCATTTAAAAATGCTAGGTCATGTATATTCCTTGTGTTCTGGTTTTTATTGAAAATATTTATACCCCATATTTCTGCCTTATAACAGGTGCCCAAGGTGACTGGTAAGTGAGCATGAATAACTGAGATTATTTAAAAGGCAATGGTGATTTAAAAATACTTGGTGGGAAGTGTCTTGGTGGTGGAAAATGTTCACTTCCCATATTTAAGATGTGGAAGCTGCTGTTACTTCAATTGCCTCTCTACTTATCCTCTGTCCTTATGCAGTTTATTCTTCCTGATAATGGAGATAGAGGTTTTGCTAAAATAACAGTGATTTGGCACTCATAGAGGCTGCTGTGTGTTGCATACATTATACCAAAAGATGCATGGATGCCTAAGACACAATTGGATTTCTGCATTGAGAAGTACTATATATGCTCATGTGAATGTCGACCTTATATATAAGTTGCAGGGAACTTTTGGGGCCAGAATTAGGATTTTGATATGACCCACAGATAAGTCAAGGGTTAGTCCATGGAGAGGGGAAAGCACCAGCATTGCCTCACCACCCCGCTGCCATCACCATTTTCTTACCCAGGCATTCAAAAGGTCCAGAAAGGGTGCCTAGGTGAAGATAGTGGAGGGGTTGGGTCTTATTTTAGGTTCTCCCAGAATGGGCTGAACTTTTATGTTTTGCCACTGTACTCAGACAAGGGGATAGTTATTTTTTATATATATAAGAGTTAGAATTATAGTACTTAGATTGACCTGTGGATTAATCAGTCTGGCTTTTTGGGGTCAATTTTTGACTAAAATTTCTAGACTTATGCATGAGTATAGACAGTAGTCCACTGAACATCTGATAAAACAGCATAGTGTGAGAGGAAAAGGAAACTGAAAAAAGACTGCAATTTACACTACTCCATGTTTGTACTTTCGTGACATACAAACTCTCACACAAAGAGTCCAAAGGATGTGAAACATTGAACAGAGGGAGGGGGAGGCATAATCAATACTACTGTTTTCTATAGTTGACACTTCTTTGTACAACAAGAGATCATGTGGAAAAACAGCTTGTCCAAATTTATTTCTCTGCCTTTCCAGCCCATGCAAGTGATAATACAGAACTAGTGAGGCTCATGGGCTAAGCACCATCCTCCTGACAACAGCATTATAACAACCCCATCTCTTAATGCAAGGATAGTCTGAATTACTTTTCACATACCTCTCACAAGGTTTGCCTCCCCAAAACATTTGCATGTGATGTGTTTCTGTTTGCACATGAATAGAGATAAAGACTGCAAACAAAACTTCTGTTGCATTACTGATACTAACTGTTCTAGTGAATGATTTTATAGTCATAGTCTGCTAAAAACTTAGCCATAATGACTACTCTTTAGGTTGCTTTGCTCGCATTAAATACATGTGTATAGAACATATATCCCTATAGCAAAATCTGTCAACTTCCTACCTTCCAGACTTTTTGGGCTGCAATATTCATCTCCAGCCACCATTTGGAATCATAGAGTTGGAAAAGACCCCAGAGGCCATACAATCCAACCTTTCTCTGCCATTCAGAGAAACACAATTAACTCACTCTTGACAGATGGCTATCAAGCCTCTGTTTAAAACCTCCAGAGAAGAGACTCCATCATAATCTGAGGGTATATATTCCACTATTGAACAGCACTTACTGTCAGGCAGCTCTTTCTTAACAGTCAGGTGACATCTCTTCCTATAGTTTGAATCCATTAGTCTGTGTCCTTATCTGTTTAGCTGCACAAAGTATTATGTTATTGTTGTTGAAACTTCAAATATGATGTCATTTGACAGGCTTATTACTTATAAACACAATATAGAGGAAGAACTTCTCTTTGTCATGGATAAATGTCCATATTCATTTGTTTAGCAGCAGAAAACAAGCTTTTCCCCTCCTCAATGTGACATCCTTTCAAATATATAAACATCGTACCTGTCCAAATGTATCTCCTTCTATGTCCCACCTCAGAGCTTAAGATCTTCTGGGGAGGCCCTGCTCTCAGCCCAGCCTTTGTCTCAAACACATTTGGTGGGGACGAGGGACAGGGACTTCTCTGTGGTGGTCCCCGTCTGTGGAATTCGCTTCCCGGGGAAATTAGGTAATCATCATCCCTCCTCACCATTAGAAAAAGGGTTAGAACATGGTTGTGGGACCAGGCCTTCGGGGAAAATAAGGTTAAAGGACAATTGATAATGTTTGACTATGGCTTGGAAGAGGATTTGGATAAGTTAAGCAGAGTAATCTTTAGTATTTGGGTAGCTAAATAGCCACCAGACTGGCAATAGCTAAATAGATCGTAAGTATACTGTCTTAATCTTTATTTATTAATGTTTATGTTTTAATTGTTATTTTGCTATTTTGTATTTTATGATGCGGCATTGAATTATTGCCAATTGGAAGCCGCCCTGAGTTCTCCTAGGGGTTGAGAAGGGCGGGGTAAAAAATGTTCGAAATAAAATAAAAAAATGAAAAATCACTATAATCTCTTCTCCCAATCTTCTCTTCACCAAGCTAAACATACCTGGAGAAGAGAAGGTTGTGAGGTGATAATTGTCATAATGAAAAATGCGAGGCATCTTCTATCCAGTGCATTTGATATGCTGAAAGATAACATTTATGATATGTATATTTTCTTTTGGTTCTCCTAATGGGTAGTTATGAAAAGAGCCCAGTCTGTCATGCACTATTTTTTACATAGTTGGCAGATACTCAAATGAGTAGGGTGATTTTCTGTGAAATTTCTTTGGTCCTCAGTAATACTTTCTGCTTAGTTTTTAAGGCTCTCAATGCACCCGAGTGTAAGCCCCCTTGAACACAATTGGAGTTATCTTTCAGTAGATGTGATTACAATTTTACTTCTTGAAGTACAAATCTTTCCAACTGTAGAAGAGAGGAACCTTTAAAGGTGAGTTACTAGTTTCTTGGAATACTAGCAGATTAAGCAGGTGTTATATTTGGAAAGGGACAGGTTTAGGGATCTGTTAGATCTGCTACCTTCATAGTATATTTTAGTTTATAATTTTTTAATCTAATTCTACAGCATATGGTGCTAGAGGCACTTAGGTGTATGTTTTAAGATTTTAATTAGACTTACTAATTTTGAGCCAGTTCACTTGCACATTGAGATACATAGGCAACAGTTTCAAAAAGATATTCCTTTATTTCCATCCTTTATTTTTCTTGATTGCTGCCTATTACACATAGTAAACAAACCATACACTTATTACAGGTTTCCCCATTTCTGCAGAGTTGTTCTTACTGAAACAGTTCATTCATATTCTTGCTTTAATTTCCAGTTTTGGGCTAAAGGTTCAAGAAATAGTGAAATAGAAGAAACAAGAAAGCAGATGCCAGAAAAAATGAAGGAGTAAGCATACGTCCCAGTGTAATCATATATCCATCCTGTAAAAAGAATACCAGGGCTCAATTACTAAACATTAACATTTTTGTCAGGATAAGAACTAATGTTCATTTGTGAATGTTTTTTAAATTATCCCATGATATTACTACTATAAATTTACATAAACAGGAAAACTGCTGTAAGTATTGTGTTAGTATAGTCCATATTTTTGTAGCTCTATTGTAGAATTTTTAAAGGATTTTTTTTACATTTTTTGCAATTTTATTTATTAAAATTACATTGTATAGTATTTTATTTAAAATTAAACGTATTTTGTTACTTTAATATATCTTGTGCCATGTTTGTTAAACAATATTTTTGTGCTCTTTCAATTTTTCAGAATTTTGCACTAACATTTCCAATTGCATTTTAAAGAAGTTTCTTTCAAAGTTCCCCTTCACAAGCATCATTTGTCAGAGGCATGCCAGTCAAGAACAAGAAGTGATATCTTTCAGCCATTTTCCTTAACAAGATCTGCCTTATATCTGTACTGTAATGTGTTCAGCACCAGACAAAAATATTATTTTCTCTGGCATTTTATCCTAAGTAGTATGAAAACGGATATCAATTTATTTTTAATATAAGACTTCATAACATTTCAAAAACGATACAATGGGAGAAAGAAGACGGGTACCCTTTCTTTCCCACAAAACATGATCGTGCTGCTCTCTCAAACATACTGGAGAAAATACTATAGTGTGAAATGCCATTTTGATTATAACTAGTGAGAAAAGGTATGCTGTCTTAAGGGCTATGTTCCATGACCTGTTTACGAAGACTGAACAATTTTCTCTGCATATTTTCCTGCTCTGAAATGCTATTTTGAAATGAGACACTAGAGGGCCATGCCTTACTTTTCCTGCACTGGAATGCAGGTTGATCCTCCCTTATCTGAAATACATGACACCAGAAGATTTTTTGGATTTTGGATTTTTTTGGAATAGCTGTATTTGCATGTACATGGTGAATGGGGTTGGGAAAGGGAATTAGCTACATATCCAGTGCTTGTTGAGTTTTTTTTCCCCCAAGGAGCTCTCCCTTCACCACTGTCAGAAACTTGTCAAGGGAAAGGGAAGTGTGGGAGGACGCTGGGTCCTGCATTTTAACTTGCGTAAAGCCCTTGGAAAAAGCCGACACTAGGAAGGAAAAACACATTTGAGTTTGTTGGTAAGTCCCAACTCCTGGCCAAACTATGCTGTACTTTCCTGCCGTCCAAGCACTCTGGAAATGGGGCTCAAAGGAATAGCACAGTGTGGATTGTCCAAGCGGCCAGAACTTTCCAACATTAAATTAGCTCACAGCAGGCAGATACATTTGGACTTTTTTCTCTCCTGATCTCTGCTTTTTCTGGGGGCTTTGTATAAGTCAAGCTTCAGGACCCAGTCCTCCCCCCCCCCCCCCATTTTAAATTTCTGACTGGTGAAGTGAGAGCTCCCTGAGAAAAAACCCAGTGAGTGCCAGATGTGTAGTTAGCCTCCTTTCCTTACAGGTGGAAGTGGTAGCGGCACAACATTTTCTTGTTTTTGGAGTCTTTCAGATTTCCAGAAAAGAGGCTCAACCTGTGTTAAATTTATGATTCAAGGTATTCTGAATGGAATTTCTGACTGGGGCCCTATTCTGCTTGCTTACATCGATGGGGTACTTTCACATATGATTCACATCTCAATAAAGGGACAGCATAGAAGAAGTCCTACTGGCTCAGTCCAAAAGCTGATCTTGTTTTGAACAGTACCAGCCACCCTCCTACATACAGGTACATTTACCATACATACTTAGTGCAATGGTTCTCAACCTGTGGGTCCCCAGGTGTTTTTGGCCTTCAACTACCAGAAATCCTAACAGCTGGTAAACTGGCTGGGATTTCTGGGAGTTGTAGGCCAACACACCTGGGGACCCAAAGGTTGAGAACCACTGGCTTAGTGTCTAATGCATTCCTTCAGTGTCTAATGTGCAACTTCTAGATATAATCCATTTAGGTATTGCTCATAGTGGCAGACTGAAAAACTTATGAAGGGAAAGTATAGCAGTTTATCTCTTTTTCTTGATTTCTTGAAAATAGTCCTACTGTATTCAGAGTATCTGACTCCAGGTAAATCTTTGCAGCTCTCCCTTAAAGGCATGTAACTTAGGAGCCATCACCACATTCTATAGCAGTGAATTCCATATGTTAAGATCATATGAAATACTACTTATTTAGTCTGGCTACTTAGGACTAATTATAAAATAGTGCATACTTGTCCCCACCACCACAATACTATTTTCGAATGCTTTGCAAAGATAGAGAAGACTGAGACTATGATCTAGAACAGGCACATGAAAGATAGAGGAAAGGGAAGAGTATGCACTAGTTCAGTGGTTCTCAACCTGTGGGTCCCCGGATGTTTTGGCCTTTGACTCACAGAAATCCTAAAAGCTTGTAAACTGGCTGGGATTTCTGGGAGTTGTGAGCCAAAACACCCTGGGGACCCACAGGTTGAGAAGCACTGCACTGGTTGATATGTTGACTCAGTGGTGCTGCAGAGCTACTAGTGATCAAGTATGCATTACTACTTCCGAGTTTTTTTAGTGACTACTTGTGACAAAGGGAAGGAGAATAATTTCACTGCTGCATTTATTTTTCCTTTTCTCTAAATCTTTGGCAGGTCTGCAGCTTGCTTTTGACAATACAATTATTTCAAAGGAAATTACAGTTCATGTTACCTGCTAGAGGAGGTCCACTGGTGATTCCAAATCCAGCAATAAATGAGGCAAATCCCAAAGCACTGTGGAAAGTGGAGGCACCTACAAGATCTACCTGTTGAGAGAACCAATATTATTGCATGGGTGTACTATGGTCATGTATTATCAGCACTTTGGGAATGTATAGCTGGAATAGGATTAAAAAGGTTTAAATAAAATACACTACATACTCACGCATAAGCCTTGAAATTTTAGTCAAAAATTAACTTAAAAACTGGCTTGACTAATCTGTATTTTTTTAAAGGAACCATCCCCATCTCTGAACAGAGTGGCAAAAGGCCAGAGCTTAGTCTGTCCCGGGAGAACCTTAAAGAAACACTGACTCTCTCTTCTCTCTCTGCCATGGTGACACTTCTGGCTTTTTTGAATGCTTGGGTGGGGAAATGGTGATGGCCATGCGTTCCTCTCTCTGCAAAATGATATTGGACCTATCCAAATGTTTTATCAAGAATTGTAATTTTGGCCACAAAACCTGGGCTTATACATGAGTATATATAGTAATTAGAATTGATTTCAGCTTTTAACAATTAAATCTTGTTTGTCCAGACTCAGAATTGCAATGGATCTCCTACTACTGTTCTGCCTGACTCGTAGTGAGGTGAGAACATGCTTAGCTCTTGCCTCAAATGGAGTAATGGAATATGAGTGTGAAAATCTGAAAGTTTCATCAGTCTTCAAGCCACCATGACCCCTTCAGAATGCTAGGCCATTTGGTTAATGTCCCCTACTTTGATATCGTGGATAGAAGTTCTGAGTGGCAAGGAGGATTGTGAGTCTTACATTTTTCTTCTTATTTTTTTCTTGATTTGCTTTCTGGCTTTGTAAATTATTGTACTCACTTGAATCTAACGCTCACCTTTTTTTGACTAAATGACCTTGCCAAAATTGAGTCACACATCAGATTTGCTTCATATAGTAATCTTAGTACTGAGCCAAAGCAAAAGGGGAAGCTGCTTCAGGAAGACCACCTGAATCTCCTCTTTGAGGGATGTTATCTCTAATCCCAGGGCTCAATGCTATGCAACCCTAGGATTTGTAGTTTGGTGAGGCACCAGCAGAGAAGGCTCAAAACTTTGTCAAACTACAGCCTACAGGATTCCATAGCATTGAACAAAGGCAATTAAAGTCAATTCATTCTACAGAATAGATGTACCCCAAGGTTTTCTTTTCTATCACTAGAAGAAATTATACGCATGCAGTCGCTGTAATGCATACCTTTTTTACCAACTTACAAAGAGTGCACGTTTTGCTGTTGCATATCACAATCGGCAGCAAATCCTTTTTTGTCTTTAGGATGTTGAAAATTGAGGTGCACATTAGATTCAAACGCTCTTTAGACTCAAGTAAATATATTTCCCTTCAGGTGAATAGTTATAGTCTGTAACTACTCACAAAAACATAACTATTTGCAAGCAGCTGAAGTCTTGCTTTAAATAGCTTTAAAAGCTGAAGTCTTGCCGTAATAGCTTTAAAACAAGCATGTGTCATCATAGTATTACCAGGAATAAAGTCCAAAGCTTTTAGAAGAGAAGAGAAAGGCACTCAGGAAGCATGAGAAAATGAGAAACTCCACAGGTCCAAAGTACAAGTGGTGGTTTTTATCATTTTTAAACAGCATGCTTGGCCACTGGGAAACTGGACTGAGATGTCAAAAAAGTGCAAGTAACATCCAGCTTCTGGGTTGCAGTGAGTTTTCTGGGCTGCATGGTCATGTTCTATAAGCATTCTGGAACATGGCCCTACAGCCCCCCCCCCCCCCCATCACAGCAATCCAGTGATTCCAGCCATGAAAACCTCTGACAACACATTGAACATCCAGCTTCCTTTTTTGTTTTGCTTTGTTCCTATTTAATTAAAACAGTGGGAGTATCATTGACTGGCTGTGGTTAAAAAAAAAAGATAATATGTAATGAAGCTGGAGTTTAGACCGTAGAATATCAAGGCATTGTTGGTGAACTGTTTATACATATGGGGTAGTAGTGTTCCATCTGTGTTGATTCAGGACATAGGTCACCCTATAGCAGACCTGCACAACTTGCGGGTTTCCAGGTGCTTGGGACTCAGACTCCCAGAAGGCCTAGCCAGCTTGTCCGGGGGTCAGAAATTTTGGGAGCTGAAGTCTAAAACGCCTGGAGGGCTGCAGGTTGTGCCCTACAGGATCGGATTTGGAGCTTGGCCCTGGGTTTTTATTACAGCAACGTGTGGCCTCTGTGGTTTGGACATTTTTATTGGCTTCACATTTATAAAGTAACTGCAATTTTACCTGAATTGAGATAGTCTTGCGTATACTACCCATACATTATCTCCTACAGCTCATTTGGTCCTAATTTGTCAATGTGTCTACCATAGGGATCACATCACTGCTTTGTTATCTATGTGTTTGCTTCCCATTATTTTTCTACATAGACATTGTGATAATCTTCAATGGCCTGTTTTCAGTTGCTGCAACTGACAGAGCTGCAGAGAATAACTACTAAACAGGACATTCAGCATGGTAATTCCCTCTAATAAAATGCTCTGTGATTGACTAGGCGTAGACCCCCACCACCGCCCTACCTCCAGCTTTGAGGGAATTTTGAACCCTGAAATTTGAATAATTGAATATATTGCTTTGCAGGAAAAATAGAGCCTAACCCCAATTTAGAACTAGGCATTGGCTGCTTTTTCTTGAAAGTCAATGTGCCCAGGTTAATTGCACTGTGTATCATGACAGATGACCCATATATTTTCAGCTTAAGATTGTATTGAAAGGATGCCCTGTCAGTACTGAAGAAAACATATTGACTAATAATGGATCCGTAGCAGTGAAATACCATTTCAGTTGCATGTGCGAGATTCTCTTTTTTACATTTCAGTGAATGAATGGGAACTGAATTTGTCATCTTCAAAGCGTGTATTTTTCAGTTGTTTTTTTTCTTCTTCTGTGCATCAAACAAATGTCAGATTTCTATATTGGATGCTTTCAAAAAGACAGAGGACAGTCTTCATTTGAGACCCTCCAGCTCAGGCATGGGCAGACTTGGGCCCTCCAGGTGTTTTGGACTTCAACTCCCACCATTCCTAAGAGCTTCAGGCCCTTTCCTTTCCCCCAGGAAAGGGCCTGAGTCTATTAAGAATGGCGGGAGGTGAAGTCCAACACACCTGGAGGGCCCAAGTTTGCACAAGCCTGCTCTAGCTATTGCTAAAATGTGTTTCACTGTTAGTTCTTTGATAACTTTGTTTCTTTTTTCTCCTCCTACTTACCAGCACAGGAAGCAGCAGGGCAAGGTATCCACCACTGAAAATGGCAAAGATTACCGAGTACGTTGTAAGCAGTGGTAAGGTTGTGGCCAGGGGGCACATCAAATTAGTAATTCCACAAAGAATGAGGTACATTTTGTGGTAATGATACTTTTTGATCCAGTTCTGATCTGCAATCCAGCCAGAGAGTAATAAGGTGATTGTCTCTATAATTCCTAGGGTGAAACAAGGAAAAGTCATAAACTGTAAATCATAAGTACATGTGTAAGATTAGTAATCAAAGGCATGAAATATCAATATGCAAAGGTATTTTTGTATCATCCTAGAGACTGAGGAACCTGAGGGAAATCAGGATGTACCTGAGGAAGTTGTTTACAAGAGCTCATTGTACCAACTTTATTCCCTCAGTTAGTCTCTAAGGTGCTACACAATCCCTTTACACAAGATTAGAACAGTAAAGAAAACATCCATTTTAAAATGTTAAAGCACATATTACCTACAAGAGTTCTAAGGCCAATGTGGAAATTCAGAAAGGCATCCTAAAAAGGTGATACACATGAAAGAAGGGAATGCACCTCTAAAAAGGCAATTTTCTCCTTTAACAACCAGTATCTCTTTTGAGGGCTAATATAGTGGAAAAGATAAAGTTAGTGTAACAAATTAGATAAGCATATGCTAAATAGGTTTGTCCTTGTCAAGATTCCATGCCCAGAAGGATCCTCTTAGATTGTCAGTACATTAATGATAACTAGATTGTTTGGTTTTTTGTGAATTTAGGATATGAAACAAAACACTCTTGAGTAACTTTTAAAATTCAGTTCTATGTTACTTCTAACAGTCACTTGTAACCTTAGGAATGCATAGATAGCTCACAACCCTTAGTTTTCATTCAGCACTCATTCTGTTGTTGTTACTTGACTGGTAAATCAGCCATCTATTATACATTGTATTTCCTTACTACTAGTTGCCAATGCCAGCAGACTGCTATACATAAGCATGTAATTGCTAGATCACTATGCACTATTTGGGAAACATGTTGTGATCTTATTGTAAAAAGACACACAAGAGAAGACCTGAGTGTTGTAGCCCAGTGATAGTGTAGCTCAGTTGTAGTTCCATTGTAGAGCATATGCTTTGAATTCAGAAAGAACACTGCTTGAAACTTTGGGGAACCACTGCTAGTCCTTGACAACAATATGGGGCAGGATGGACTAGAGAAGTTTAAGGGTTCTTCCACACAGCCATAAAACACAGAAGACCATGGCAGAATAACCCACAATATCTGCATTGAACTGGAATATCTGAGTCCACACTGCCATATATCCCAATTCAAAGTGGATAATGTGGGATTTTATCCAGCTGTGTGGAAAGGGCCCAAGGCAGCTTCTTCAGTTGTTTTCTTTAATAGAAAATTAAATTGGCCATCATTTGACATATTTGTTTACATATATGTAAAACGATTTTAACTTCTTAATAATGAAAGATCTAGGTGCTACACAAAACTATAAAAGACAAAACCTGCATACAGCTAGCGTTTCTTTGGTTTTTGTCTTTTGCAGAGCAAGCACAATAAACAAGCGCCTCAGCTGGCAGCATCACTCTAAAATGGATAAACAAACAGACCCCTCAGCTGGCTATATGAAATATGGTATACACACACTGGAAGACTGTGGCCATTTCCCCTTATCTTGATTTCTAAATTATGTGTTTGTTCTTCAGGATTCTTGGAGAGCTGCTTTATTAAATGCAATCAGAATTACGATCCAAGGTCTCATCCCTGGCTCCACAAGTGGTAAGTCCCAGTTACCTCTCCCACGCTGATCCCATACTTTTCTTGCCTTGCAATGGCCCTTGGGTGGGGAATTGGGACCTTCATCTGCTAAACCCTGTTTAGCAATATTTTGAATTATTAAACAAAAATTGAAGGAATTAATTTCATTCTGTCTCTTGCACTTTGCAAAACCAGCTCTTTAGGGATACCCCCCCGTCCCCCCCAAAAAAACCTCTCTTAAAAATCTTTTCCCAGCCATTTTGCTTCTCTGATATTTGGAAAATAAAGATATTTTAAATACTGCTGCTGCTACTACTACTACTACTAATAATAATAATTTTGCTTAATAAAAGCATTTGTAAATATTGGAATGTGTCTCTTACTGTGTAATGAAGAAGTAAGAAAATAACCATATTTTGCTCTATGCAATTTTACTGAAAGCTGATACAAATAAGAGAATGTATTTTTCATAGAATAATAGAGTTGGAGGAGGCCATCCAGTCCAACCCCCTGCCAGTCTATATCATTTTAAAGAAGGCCTGCCTCAACTATATATATACCAATTAACACATAAATATGTCCCTGAGATGAAGAAATAGAGCATATTCCATCCCGTTATTCACATATTTCCTAATATCCTTGATGCTGCATTACTCCCAAAACAATGTTTTCAGGAAACTTCTTTGTAATCCAGAATTAGTTCATTTTTTCATGTCTCTTATTTGCAATTGTTTGATCATATTTGTGTTCAAACATTTGCCGCAAATATTTTAAGGAAGTTTCAGAATTCTTTTTTGTCACAAGCCACAAACAACTATATCATGAACGATATGTACAAGATCTATGCTGCTTGATCTCCCTATCCCCAGAGGCATTGGGTTTGTTTAATATTGAGATTGTAATAAAGACAATTCAAAAACAAAGGATCTGTTGTTTTTTTCTTACCAGCCACTGTAATCATATAAGCAGTGTCCATTGGCTCTATGCCCAAAGTTTTTGCTCTGGCAGCAAAGTGTAAGGTTGGGATTATATAGGCTACTTGGCTGAATAGAAAGGACCATGTAAAAATGTAGAAGAAGGGGTTTTTCAGGTGGGAAAAGTCAAGAGGACACTGTTTGCAGGAGAAAGATGGGGAATGTTCTTGCTTGATGTTTTCTTCCTTGTTTCGAAAGGAGCTTTGAGTGGTTGCTTGGTTGTCATTGTTGTTTTGGTGTGTTCCTGGGCGGGGATCTTTTACTTGAATGTCAAACAAGTTGTAGTTTACTGGGGTTAATCGTGCTTCCTCAGCTTGTTTTGGATTGTTTTGATGATCGTATTTCTGACTGGGATGAGCCTTCATGTCCGCTTCTGTGATATGGATTTCATCTAGGCTATCTTCACATGTTTCTGGAAACTTACAGGTTTCAGATATCAGAGTGCCTTCATTTACCATTCCTACATCTTTCATTTTCTGAACATTCACTGGCCGTAGCAGCATGCTGGAAGGCAGAAGGTTCAAAAATATGCCACCAAATATCAGTAGAGCACCTAAGAAAATGAATAGAGACTCAGATGTGATTTACCCCAGTCATATCCGATAAAGTAGACAAATAAAAATGTTCATGGCACAGGAGGACTGTTGGCTTCATGTTAAAAGAGAGGGAATTGGGGCAATTGAATTATTTAACAAGTTTTAGTGTAGCTCTGCTGTTAATGGATTGTTAGATGAACAACAACAAAAATAGAAAATGTTCTACCACCTTCTCATATAATGATATTCAGAGGTAGCCATGTTGACTATATAGCAAAACGTTTAGATGCTGTGTCAAAATCAGTTTTTGCTGCAACTGGGACTGCACTGATTCTGGACTGGACTGATTGTTTAAAGCTTTTATCTCCACCAAAAGCAAGCTCTTTATTGGACCGTAATTAGCAAGTTTCACCTGTACAGCACCCAAAAGCTAGAAAGCTGTAATAATTCAGCGGTCACTTGAGAAATTCAGTGTTCTCTGCCTAAGAGAGAAACTTAGCTTTCCACAGGACAGGGGAAGCTGGATATCAAGGGAAGTTACTTTTTCTGTTTCTAATGGAGTTAAAATGTTACTACCTGACTTTATTGACCTTTGTCCTTGGCCAAAAAGGAGTGGCCTCTGCCTACCCTAACATAGATAAAGCTGAACTTTTCCCCTGATATTAGGTCTAGTTGTGTCCGACTCTGGGGGTAGTGCTCATCTCCATTTCTAAGCCGAAGAGCTGGCATTGTCAGTAGACACCTCCAAGATCATGTGGCTGACATTACTGCATGGAGCACACTTACCTTCCCAAAGTAGTACCTATTGATGTATTCATATTTACATGTTTTCAAACTGCTAGGTTGGCAGAAGCTGGGGCTAACAACAGAAGCTCACCCTGCTCCCCGGATTCAAACCACAAACCTTTCGGTTAGCAAGTTCAGCAGCTCAGTAGTTTAACCTGCTGCGCCTCCAGGGGGCCCATCTCTTAACATATTCACCTTATTTCCCTCTTGTATGATTTTAAACATCTTGGCCTGATGAAGAATCCAGTTAAGCTTCAAGAGCCTTCATGATGAATTTTCTGCATTTTGTTTGGCCAATAACGATATTACTCTTTTGTGAATTTTGGAATTTGTCTCTTAATGGTAAGCATCCTCAACAAAAAAAATTAAGAGATGACGGACACATTCTGAAGATCGTCTTTTTATGGTAGTGGTACTCAGGTTTTGCTCTTTCTAGTGTTTTGGACTTCAGACCTCAAATCCCTGAACACTGGCTAAACAGACTGGACCTTTAAGGAGGTGAGGAACAGAACAGTTGGGAGGACCCACATTTTTAAAAACTTTTTAATGAGTCAGCTCCCTCTGAAATCTGATGAAAATTTTGACGTAAATACTGTGGCTCAATGTGATTTTAAAAATATAGTAGTAAAATACACATAAAAGAAAAGGTTCCACCTTTTCTGTCAAGCACCATGATACTTGTATTGTGTAAGATTTCTGCATTTACCTGAACTCACAAAGAAAAAACTGAATTACAGGACAGGGGAGGAGAGTTTGGTTACTATTTCACTGTTGAAGTATCTGTGTCAGGTTTAACATCAGCCACAATGCTTCATTATAACTATTGATTACAGTTTAGAAGGGGGAAAATCTCAAATGAATAATTGACATTTCTGTTTAGACATTTCAAAGCAAACAGAAAAATGAAAAGGAGCATGTTGCAGCCATGGTTTATTTGATCATCAAAATGAACTGTGTGAAGTGAAGTCTACTAACCTTTCCAGCCATATGTTTCAATTAGTAGTTGAGCAAATGGTGCTAATACAACACTCAGGCCCATCCCTGAGCGGCCAATTGCATTGGCGAGAGCCAGGCGTTTCTTGAAGTACTTCACAATCATCACTGCTGCTATCTGGTATAAGATAGCAAAACCCAATCCTGAAATGAAAAGGCATAGTAACTAAAAACTGAATCCTGTTTAAAAATATTCAGTTTAGTTAGGCTTTCACTGTTTAAAAACCCCACAATACACAGACTTATTGCAATGAGAAACAGAACTAGCCCATAATGAATTTCATATGTGCAAGTACAAGGAAAACACAATCTTCTCTTTGGCAGATAAGTCTTTTGCAAAAGCCATCTAGTCAGTGAGGATGTATCTGTGTTCTCACTAAGTGACACATATTGACAGGGCACAACCTACCTGCTAGGAATCCCATAGTTACACAGAGGAAGGAGATGCCTGTAGCCAATGTACTGAAAAGAAAACCAACGCTAGCCAGACATGCTCCAATCAAAGCCGTTTTCCGTTCCCCGAGCATTTCACATACTATGGTCACCAGCGGGGCTAAAACAGAAGAGATGTCTTAAGTTTAAGAATACAGTTCATTGCATTGCACTCACACCAAAGAAAAAATATCTACAAAATGGTACATTGTGAAAACATAACATTACATATTATGCATTAACTGTTTTGCATCATTTCAATTTTGATGTCACTTTAATACTTTTTTTTATTTTCTTCCTTGTGCTGGAGTATGTTCAGAGTAACTGAACTATATGAAAATGTACGGAGGCTGGAACTATTAGTCTACCTTCCCCACTAGTCCTAAACTGGATGGGGATCTGCCTGATACATCTTCCTTCCAAAAAAAGTGATCTCTTGAAACAAAGGATCACTCTGGCAAGAAGCCCTGACCCGAACTAGGGGAGCCAAAAGGCTAAGGTCGACTATCCCTACAATCCTCCCTCCCCATGCTAGGGTCACCCTAGTTCCCAATTGTGTTTAGGATTGCTATATGGATAGATGAATGAAGTAGCTACTAAAACTGGAGAAAAGTATTTCAGAACAAACATGTCCAAAGTTGGCTTTCTTGACCAAACCATGCTGTTTCTGCAGGAGTTGTTTAAGCAAAAACATTTGTGTGCTAACCTGCTAGGAATCGGAGAGAAGACATGATAGAACCAATCCAGGAGACATGTTCAGACGAGCCACCAATATCTTCTTGGAAGGCCACAAAGAAAATTGTAAACGTTTTCAGTGCTCCCATTGTAGTTAAATTTACCTTCAACAACAAAATATATCATAAAATGCCAGTTGAAATAAAATGGGCTGCCACTGGACTGCAAAATGCATAGAGCAGACTATTCTTGTCTTGTAGAACACAGAGACTTATGAATTTATAATATGGCGAGTGTTAATCTTGAAGGGTTTTTTGGACAATATAATTTGGTATGAACTTTTGGGTCTGTCAAATTCAAAGATTATGGGGGAAACACCACAAGGAAGACGCCCCCGGTGGCGTGATGCGTTAAACCCTTGTGCTGGCAGGGCTGAAGACTGACAGGTCATAGGTTTGAATCCTGGGAGAGCTGTCAGCTCTGGCTCCCATGCGGGGACATGAGAGAAGTCTCCCACGAGGATGGTAAAACATCAAAACATCCGGGCTTCCCCTGGGCAATGTTCTTGCAGACAGCCAATTCTCTCACATCAGAAGCGACTTCCAGTTTCTCAAGTCACTCCTGACATGGTAAAAAAAAAACACCACAAGGAAGAAGAGAAATAATGAGGGGAGGAAATGGGTGATAAGAGATCTGCAACACAAAAGATATGGAGAGGTTGAAGGAATTGGACATGGTTAGCTTGGTAAACAAGATGATTTATGTGCTACATGACTGCACTCAAATATCTTAAGAGTTGCCACACAGAGGAACATGAAGGCTTCACCTTTGTCTCAAAGGGCAACGTCATGCTTTTAAGTTACAGGAGAGTGGATCTGGATTGAGCATCAGAAGGAACTTCTTGACAGTAAGAGCAGTTCAGCAGCTGAGTCATTTGCTTAGAAAGGTGGTAATGTCTCCTGCATGTCTTGGAAAAGAGACTGGCCAGTTGTCTGCTGGAGATTGTCTAACTAGAAAAGCTGCATTGAGCAGGGATTGAACCTGATAACCCATAAGGCTCCTTCCAACTCTTATGAATCTGTGAGTGACCTGCATTAAAAGATATAATTGCACAGCTGTCTGCTTAGTTCCACCATGAAAATTTGGAAGGCAATGTAATTCCAGGTTTGTCACACTTGAATACTCATAAGGATTGTACAGAGATGGTAAAGTTAATGGGAAACAACACATTTCACTTATTAGTTAATATGATTTTAAAAAATCCAATTCAGTTACACACATGGAGCAGTAGTGGTATTTGTTAACTTTAAAATCCCATAGTTTGTATTATTATAATGCTTTTCTCAAGCCCACAAAAACACATACACATAAATCTCAGTGATTTGGGTTTGGTTTCCACCAGTGCCTTCACTTGGGAATTACAATTAAAAACATCAGAGGAGTGTGTGTGCGTGCGTGCGTGTGTGTAATGATGCAGTTACAGTCACTTCAGTCTGAATCCTGTTTGTTCAAACTATAGTAGACATTATGAATGGTGAACCAATATGTAAATCAGGAGAGCTGCTTGGGTAAATGCTCAGCTTATTGGCTATAGTACTTTGATTTAACATTTACACTACGTTTAGAGATTCAGCCCTGTATTCATGCTATAGAGCACTGCTTTTTAAACTGTGGGCCCCAACCCCAAATGGGATGCCCTTAGCTCAATGTTGGGGTCATTAAAAAGACTGGCAGCAGTAAAAGATTTCTGAATACCACCCAGATGCAGCATTTACAGAGAACTCTGCTATAAATACTTCAGCTGTATTTCACAAAACAAACAAACAAAACAGCCTGTTCAGCAATCTTTGCAAAGGCTGTCTGATTTTATACCTGTTTTATATATCTGGGGTCACACAAACATTTCTTGGGCAGTAATGGGTTGTGAGTGAAAAAGGTTTCAGAAGCCATGCTATAGAGAATTACATTTTTGTTGTGCCTCAAGTTTCTTAGCAAGATTCATTCAGAGGTTTGCTACTCCCTCTCAATTTTGTTTAAATCTCCTCTCAAGGGATTATTAATTTTTCCAAAAGTATAATATAAACCTAGATACACAAAAACAAAACACAGACAATAATAAATAAAAAAGAGGGAAAAGATCAAGAATAAAAGTAACCCTACATTACTCTCACTTCATTAATACCCTTTACCCTTACCCGGTAGGCTGTTAGGAATTGTGGGAGTTGTAGTCCAAAACATCTGGAAGGCCAAAGTTTGCCCATGCCTGCTCTAAAACAAGCAAATTAATTATATCCCTCCTCCTGCACCCCCCCCCCCCAAAGATTAACAACACTGTCTTCCCTTTAAGGGTGAGAGAGTGTAACTTGCCTCTTGAGAGATTCCACCTCTTTTATCTCCTGGAATCCTAGGGCAAAACATCATTTTTCCACACTGTTGCAGCTTTCAGGGATAGAATGAGCTTCAGATAAATTTTAATAATGATGATGATAATGATAATAATAATCATCATCATCATCATCTTTATTTAAACCCTGCCACCATCTCCCAGGGGGACTTGGGGCGGCTCACAAAGTACTCAAGGATGCAAACACGCAAAATACAAAAAGTGCAAAGACAATAACGCAAAAGCAATAACAACCAACATAAACATCACAGCCCCTGTGGTTAAGATCCGTAAAATGCAACAATAGACCACTGTGTGATTTATTCTGTTTCTTACCAGAAAAAAGTTAAACACAATCAACCATCCCCATCCTCCATCAGGAACTTCTGTACTATGCATGTCTTTGATGTTATTACTGTTAAGTGGCATTCTCTCTTTTTCATTTTTCCTGCACATCTTGAGCTGTAGATAGCATTTTTATACTCCTTTTACCACTCAAAAGATCATTCTCAGTGTGGATTGCCTCTTGAAATGCAGGCTACTTTATACCATCTGGAACTCTTAACCATTAACCACTGTTTTTAAAGAATAAAAGGCCCTGCTGACCCCAATAAATACCTTAGTTGTGTTCTCACTGGTTATTTTATGATAGTGTTACACTGACTCAAAAAGATAACTGAGCGAGTATTGGCCCTGTTACAGCATAGTACCTTCCCCAATGTTTTTGCCTGACAGGAGCATTTGAAGCAATACCATTCCATGCCGCTTACTTGCCATAGGACACAACTTGTTCAGAAGAGACCTTTGTGTACTCATGCTTGTAATGCTTGGTTGTTGCTTAATCACATGCTAGGTTTCATTATTTTCCCTATGCAACCTTTTCAGATAATTCATTAAGATATTGGTGCGATAACACCGAGGCAGAGCTGTGCTTCCTTCATCCCTTAATTCCCAAAATATTGCTGAAGAGGCGGGATGTACAGGCAGTCCTCAGGTTATGAACAAGATAGGTTTCTTGTTTGTGTGTAAGTCGGAAAAGATACATTTTAAAGTGTAACTCCAGACATTTTTTTGCTGCCTTTATACCTGTTCAGAAGTTTTCACCTCACTTTCTGTCAATGTGACAATTGGATTATGAACACTTTGGGTTGTTGTAGAAACAAGGCACTTCCCATGATAACTCTTAACATAAGTGAATTTTCCACCCTAGGAGTAGATTTCCTCTCTTTTTGTTGTCTAGGCCATTGTAATGTAAGTCAAGTGTTCATAACTTGGCAACTGCTTATAATGGGAAATCCCTATTTTGATCCTCTTTTTGTTTGGAGGCCATAAGAAAAAGCTAATGAATTAGTTAACCAGCACATCCAGCAACTTCCAGGATAGAGAAATGACAGAGCAAGCAAGGTACATCCACTGTTGTTGGGTAATTCCATGCTTATGTTGCTGTTGCTGTTATTTTTTGTTCATGTTGTGACTCTGTATGTTTTGATGTTGTTGCTTGGAAACCGCCGAGTCCCCCCGGGGAGATAGAGCAGTATATACATAAAGTATTATTATGATTATGATTATTATTGAGAAGTGACAACTCTCAGAAATTAAAGTGTCACACTTGAGACAGAATCATGGCGATACCAAAACTTCCCACTTGACATAGGGATGTCTACAATATTCATGCCCATCTTTAGCAGCCTTGTGATATGCACTTAGTTAGTGTTCACTACTTCCGGTTCTAATAATGCTGATCTGAAGTGTTTTCATTATTCAAAAATGGGATGTTAAATAACATATTTCCCTCCATCACACATCAGCTATGTTTGCACTACATCTTAGCCAACATTTGCCTAAAAGAGCACAGGCTTTTAAAAGAAGGAATAGAGCAAAGGCTACTTTAGCCATTAACTCGGCCTGCAGGGTGGGGAATGGGGTGATGCAATATGTAACCTTTTAAGAGAAGCTGCAACTATCTCAAGTGAAAGGGTTTTTGGAGAGTGGTGATGGACTGAGTTCTTGCCTCTTAATTCAGCTAAACAGAACCTTCCTGAATAGCAAATGTTGTTTATTTGCCAATAGATTATGGGTCTAGAGCAGTGGTTCTCAACCTGGGGTCCCCAGATGTTTTTGGCCTACAATTCCCAGAAATCCTAACAGCTGGTAAACTGGTTGGGATTTCTGGGAGTTGTAGGCCAAAACACCTGGGGACCCACAGGTTGAGAACCACTGGTCTAGAGATTAACAATTTTGAGTTACCCTCTAAATTTAGGGATTTAGAGAGCTTTTAACAGCTCTCAAGAATTAGGACATGAAATGTCCATATTTAGTAACCAGTTCTATTTGTATCACTTAATTCAGCCAGTCCAATTCAATGAAGACATCTGAGTAACACAGAACCATGTAGTTACCCCCAATACATCTATTGGATTGGTATATCAGCACAGAATTCATATGTTAGGGTTGTTAAGTTTGGTTCGGAAAAACGTAAAATTCGGAAAAACTTAACCAATTTGGACTTTTGAACCAATGTTGAACCATGCAGGAATAGTGGGGGGAGCAATTCCAAATTTGAACCACTTACCCATTTTTCGGAATTATTTTCGGATGTCTCCCACAGTTATTTTGATTTTCAGAACCATTAAGCAACTTTGGCAATGCCTAAACAAACTGTTTTAAAAACTCGCAGTTTCCCTTCCCTGGCGCGTGGCCGCGATGCAAAGAGGGGTGAGGTGGGTATGGCAAGCAGCAGCACAGCTCTTCTTGAAGGCCACGCCCAGTGGTAGAAATTGCAAAAAGTCTTGCTGTTAAACTACAGGACCTTTTGCAATCTCTACCACTGGGGGGCGTGGCCTTCAAGAAGAGCTGTGCTTAGCCACACCCACCTCGTCCCTCTTTGCATCGCCACTCACCAGGGAAGGGAAACTGCGAGATTTTAAAACAGTTTGTTTAGGCTTTGCCAAAGTTACTTGCTTAATGGTTCTGAAAATCAAAATAACCATGGGAGACATCCAAACATCACAGAATAATTCCACACTGCCTTGCTGCTCATTAGCCGAGATGGTTGAGCACAGTCTTTGTCTAAATATAAAATAAAGTGAATCTACAAAGGTGTCTAAAGAGAAGGCAGCAAAGCCTTTCCCTGCAATAAACCCTTTCCCTACAATAAAGATAGCATGTGTCCACCACAAAAGCGGAGCTCCATGGCATTCTACACAGAGTTTGTGCTACACAAAGTTTCTGGAGTAGAACAACTACTTTTCAATTAAATCTGGCTACCAGTATTAAAAAAAACCTCCAAAATCAGCACAGTAAATAAAGAGCAACACTAAATAAACAGGGAAATTCCAGACAGGAAACAATCAGGGCCAAGTAACACCTCCCAACAAAGGATTCCCCATGCAGGATGCAGCCAGGCTTTGAAGCTGTGAGGCCATTCAATGTTAATCAAGGTGAACAACTGCAACATTCACACTTGCCTCCACCAGACAAAAGTTCTTTCTCCCACCCTGGTCATTCCAGAGATATATAGTCCTCACTTGCCTAGATTCCAGCAGACTTCACAACCTCTGACCACCAGAGAGTGAGAGAGAGAGGCTCTCGCACCCACGTTCGTACAAAGAAACAGTGCAAAGATCGAGAAAAGATAAAGTTTCCTATTTCCCATGCAAGTCAATGGCAGCAAAATAGTCTACTGGCAGAGCTCCCGCCTTGGAAACAAAAGCCTCCCAAGCCTCTCCGGTTCAAATCCCCATCAGGGACAAAAATGTCAAAAACACGGGAATGCACGGAGGGTTGCCAAGACACCTCCCATTAACGAAGCGATTCGGAAATTTTTGATATTTCCAATCTTGTTTCCAGAAAATTTCAGAAATCATTTCAAAATCGAATCGCCACTGCCCCCTACATCCAAAACGAGTTTTGAACCATTTTTTTTAATTAAACAAACCTAATATAAGTAGTTGACATTGTCAGGCCCCTCTTTTGCTATATGATTATTAGTTTTATGCATTCCAATATGCCAAAGAGAACAGTTATCACATTTTATTAAACACAGAGAAGCATTTAGTCAAATAGCACAGAAAAAACAGCACATTTTTTATTTATTAGTTGATGGGTGGTTGGGTTTTTTTGTTGTAATTAGACAACCCGCCAATTCACTGCCTCCAGGTACATAACAATTTCCATCGATGATAGTATGAAATTGCAGAAGTTCGGTTTAAATAAGGAGAATGTTTACAGTCTTGATCCAGCAAATTTCTGCCATGTAACACTGAATAGCCAATCTACTGCAATCTGCACAAAACATGTTCCACAAAGGTGAGTTGTTGAAGATCAGTAAGTGCTCTGGAGGTTTGAGGTTAAGAAGTCATTTTGTGTACTGCCACTGTGATGCCGTCATGCTTCTGGATCATGATGTTGCTGAAAGAGACAAGAAGTTTTGATTTTACACCATTTTTATATAATAACACAAGTTCTAAGAGTTAACAAGACTAACTTTATAGTGCTACTTTTTCAATCTCTTAGTTTGTTGGGTTCATTATTTATCCTACTAGCAGCTCTGAAAGGAAGGTATAATGATTTAACTCCTGAACTTTTCGCTAGTTTCCTATATACCATGAGTATGAGGCTACTGGTGGCTATTTAGTATCTCCAGTGTTAAGTATATGTTTGAAAAGAAGCAGGGGAGCTGAGGGATGATTTATTGTTGCCACCAATTTGAAAGGAACCAGTATTCAGGGGATTTTACCCCAGTTCCCAATTTTAAAAAGACCTAGCCGATTTGCAATGGAGGTTGCCGATTAGGAACCAAATTTACCATCAAGTTAGAAGGGAGGCACCTCCTCCTTTATTAAGAAAGTAATAACTTAGTAGTAATTACACTGTATATACTGTAGCGTGACTGGAGAGAAGAATATAGATTTATTTGGTTACTTTTCCCTACGTTTCTGCCACCACGTGAGGTAAGTTGTAATATTGTGAGAAGTGGCACTTTGTACACAGAATAGACGGAGCTGAGGCAATCTTCAAATAAAAGTTAACAATTTTATTAAGTACACAGCGTGTGGTTGCAAGACGTAACTTTTCCTTGTTGCACTTGGAATAATACTTGTAACTTTAACAGTTCATTCTTTCAAGTAACACAGTATCTTTCTGACGTAGAGCACTTGTTTCAGACAAAGTTTCCATACAGGGATGTTTCCCTTAGTTGATCCTCCCTAGATCAAATACTAAGTAAACTATTCTTTAGCCTCTCCTTAGACTAAAAGAATACCAGCTATGTTTCACCATTCGGCTGCACTAGCCTGAGAAACTTCCAATAGCCAAACCCAGCTTTTCAAAGCCTCAAAGTTTTGCTTCACAAGTCACTCCGCCACCTTTCCTTTCCTTCTCTCCCAACTCCTAACTCCTCACTCCTCTGAACCTAACTCTTGACTGCTCACTCCTCTAAACCTAAACCCTAACTGATTCTTAACTGTCATTTTTTCAAACTCTCCCCTCTAAGCTCCTCCCACTTCCCTCTCTCCTGCATCGGTCTCCATGGCAACGCACATGGAGGACTCCTCTCACTTAGGCCGCTCCAGCAGCCAATCTAAACACAAATACAGTTAAAATCATACAATTTATAATCAACTCCTGTACAATGTTCAATTAATAGGGGGTACTATCATGTTCATATCCTTCTCACAGGCATCCCATTGACACTGTACAAAGAATGCTGGATGAAATGTGTCTGTGGTCTGATCCAACATATAATTCACAATAATATTTTCTTGGTTTGAAAGATGGCATCTCCTTAACACAGATTTAGCTGTCAATATTCCCTCTTTTATTGAAATAATTAGCTAAGTACGCTTTATGAATATACAGGTTCGTAACAGCTTGGTTTAGACTATACTGTTATCAAAAGTACAATTACTAAGTTTTTATGTATTATTTTTATTTATACTCTGCTTTATCTCTCCTAAAGGAGTCTCAAAGCTGCTCAATGTAGAGCATTAGCATACAATTTAAAATATACCAATGTGCAAAAATTAAAACAGGATTAAATATAAACAATATTAAAAAATGCCAGTTAAAAACCATTAAAACATATTAAAAGTTAAAAACCATAAGGTTCCTTTATTTAGAAAGATTGTACCCTACCAACCTACATCCATAGCATGCTCAAGTAAGTATATGATGGAGAGCAACATCTTTGTTAAACTTCATTAATGATGAGAGAAACCTCCCATAAGGATGGTAAAACATCAAAACACCAGGGCGTCCCCTGGACAATGTCCTTGCAGACAGCCAATTCTCTCACACCAGAAGTTTCTCAAGTTGCTCCTAATATGTAAAAAAAAAAGGAAAAATACTAATTTCCATGCTCTGTGGGGCTGATGGAAGCACTCAGCTAAAATAATCTGATGTCCTATGTCTCTAAGAAACAAAGACCAGATGCAGAAATTGTTCCTTGTGTGTGACATGAAAGCTAAAGAGCAGCAAATGTTTACCAGGTTACACATATCAATCCATCAGAAAGTAATTTTGTTGGGTAATTTCAAAAATGAAAAAGCATATGCAATGGTAAAGCAACAGCAGTAGTTTTTAGCAGATCAGAAGCTTCTTGTGCATAGCTGTAGGGAAAATGAGTTTCATAAATACAGGAAGAGAGTCAAGTTATAAAAGAACTACATTTCAAAGAACTACATTTCTATATAGTAAAGTTAGGGCCTAGCTATCTAACTTACCTATCTCTGCATGCATCTTGTCTCTCTTCATGCTGACAGAAGAAAAAAAATGGAGGACTCGGGGGGGGGGGGGGGGCTTGCATGTGGCTAGAAACTTTGAATAAAAAGAGGTGTGTCCCTGAGAAGCATCAGTGTAACAAACTAATAGGAGAAAAAGAGAGAGGGGAAGACAAAGCAATGGGGGAAGAGCTTTCCCTGCCAGCTAACTCATCTACCTATCTTATTAACTTGATGAGGACTATAAACCTGTGCAGGACTTGGCTGAGTTCCAACAAATTTATGCAATGAGGTGAAGTAGGTAAGTAACAGAGCACACTTACCCAGTATCTGACTCAAGGCACACTACAGGGATATCTGTGGGATCATTTGTTAATTTGGCTGCCTGCTGGGCTAGAACCGATATCACACCTGCATGTTCATCTGAGAGAGTGCCACGACCTAGAAGGTAATGATCAATAGTTGAAAAGGAAAATAAATTAGTTTTAAAAATACAGGACAGTTCACTTGGACTAAAAGAGAGTTTCCAAAATACTTACAGCCCAGATTCAGTCCCTGGGAATCAGTGCACAGGACTCCTGCAATGGAGGGATTCTTCATTCTAGGAAAGGAGGAGACAGAAGGGATCAGAAACATCCAGCAGGTGGGACAGAACAACGAAAAAGCAACAATAATAAGCATATAATAAGAATTGGTCCCTAGAGGAGAGTGATAGTGTGGTATAGTGCCTGATTGTTGGGCTACATCTACACCAGGCACGGGCAAACTTGGTCCCTCTAGGTGTTTTGGACTTTTGGACTTCAACTCCCACCATTCCTCCCATTCCTTGCTGCTGGAGTGCATCCACTGTTTTGACACCGCGTCCACTGCCATGCTTCAATGCTGTCTACAAGCCCTGCCAAACTTCAACTCCCAAGATCCCATAGCGGGAAACGTAGTGTCAAGCTGCATCCAGTCCAGAGTGTTGATGCACCCTACGGGATTGTTCCTTGCAGTGTGTGGGGCTCCCTATTGCCAGGTTGTGGTGTCCGGCACTGTAATTTTCCACGGCGGTGGTGTGTGCAAACTGGGGGGGGGGGGGGGGGGGGGGGGGGGGGGGGCAGAGCGTGGAGTGGCTCCCACATGGCAAACTGATGTAACCCCCTCCCTGTCTGCGTGCATCCTGTGCAGAGAGTCTGGGCTTCTTGATACAGAGAGCAGCCAGTAGGCTGTACCCTGATTTTGAGCTGTAATAGCTATGAAGTCTGTCCCTCCTCCATCCGCTTCTATGGAGAAGAGGTTAGCAGGCTCATCTCCGCATGAATCATACAAGGGGATCCAGCAGGACACGAGGGTGGGCTGGAGGGCTCCTTTAGCATAGGCATGGACAAACATGGGTCCTCCAGGTGTTTTGGACTTAGAATCATAGAATTGGAAGAGACCTCATGAGCCATCCAGCCCACCCCCTGCCAAGAAGCAGGAAAATTACATTCAAAGCACCTCCGACAGATGGCCATCCAGCCTCTGTTTAAAAGCCTCCAAAGAAGGAGCCTCCACCACACTCCGTGGCAGAGAGTTCCACTGCTGAACATCTCTCACAATCAGGAAGTTGCACTCTAAGCTTCTGGGGAGCAGGGCTCGAATGGCATGCCCGTCCCCAGTCCATAGTGCAGGCGGACACTGCGAACTCCAGACTTACGTGTCTTCCAAATGGTGCTCAAGCGCGCCTTCCATCCCGCCGACCGACTGAGCCTCTTCCGCAAAACACCAGCTCTTCCTTGTCAGCTGACTTCTGTCCACGTGACCAGCCAGCGAGTGGACGGCGGCTCGTTGGGTTCGGAATTCTTCGAGAGTCGGATGCGCCTGCGCAGTAAACATTTCCGCCCAGCGTGAGGTGGGGAGTGTTTTTCTAGACTTCATTTTGCGGATTGAAGGCATTTTTCTTCCTCTTCTTGTTAAGCTGGATCAGTTTTGGTCTTTTCTTGTCGCTATCTCCCTCTCATTGTATTTACTATATGTGAAAGGAAAGTGGTCCACAAACATAGGGTGCTTCTGCACTGTGGAATCAATGCAGTTCGACACTCCATGCATGCCCAATGCTATGAAACTATGGGAATTGTAGTTTTGCAAGGTCTTTCTCTGCCAAAGAGAGCTGCTGCTTGACCAAACTACTGCTACCAGGATTCCATAGCCATGGTAGTTAAATGTGGTGTCAAACTGCATTAATTCAACAGTGTAGAGGCCCCCTTAAGTAACAACTCTTGTCAAGTGCATAACGTGGTGGAAAGGAAATGGCTGCTGTGAGTTCAATAGGCACACACTTTGTTTCGTTCCCAAAATTATTTTAAAATACAGTGTATGAAATTAATTTCAAGCTATTATTTATTTATTTATGATATTTCTCTCCCACCTTTCTCAAGCCTGCAGGCGACTCAAGGCGGCTTACAAATTGACATCAATTTGATGCCATCACAATCCACAATATACAATTAAAACATTGAAAACATCATTATAAAATCAATACAATACAATAACCGTTAAAAACATATAATAACCAATGTCTTCCTGTTAATCTCACTTTCCAGTAGCATCGTCTAAGCCTTTCCATGTTTCCGTGTTTGTCTATTGCACTGCACTTCCATAGGCTTATTCAAAGAGCTAGGTTTTAATATCCCTAGAGAGGGAGATCCACAGCCGAGGGGCCACCACTGAGAAGGCGAAGAAGGCAGGATTGAGTGCAGGACCGCCCCGTACAATCTTAAGTTCCTAGATGGTTCATAGGGAGACATACATTCAGACAGGTAAGCTGGGCTGGAACAATTTAGGGCTTTATAGGGTAAAGCCAGCACTTTGAATTGTGCCCGGTAGCAAATTGGCAGCCAGTGGAGTTGGCGTAACAGGAGTTGTGTGCTACCTGAGCGCTGCTCCAGTTAGCAACCTGGCGGCCGCCCGCTAGACAATTTGAAGTTTCTGAACAGTCTTCAAAGGCAACCCCACATTGAGCGCTATGCATATAAGGCATATATGAAACATAAATGGAATTTGCATTTAGTCTTCAGTTCCATTATGTTTAAAGGTATTCCACAATCATTATCATCCTCCAAAGCACTTCTGGTACCAAGCATGTAGAACGCAGAATTGGCTGAGTATGCCTGCCCAGTTTTGCACAAGTCTGTATACGTGACACAGGTGAATACAGCACTGAACAAAACATGCAGAATAATCACAGGATATCTTAAACCTACACCTGTTGATAAACTCTAAAAGCTAGCTGGCATTGCCCCCCACCCCCCACCCCCTGATGTGCGATGGAAAGTTGCTCCTAACTGTGAGGTTGAACACTGAAAGCCATCCTCTGCATGGCTATCAACCTCCTTCCAGTAGACTCAAATCAGTGAGAGGATTCATGAGAACCACCACTCTTCTTAACATTTCTCCAGCAACAGCAAGAGTATCCCTCTGGGCTTCAAAATCAGGCAATTCCAACTGGATGCCCCCCCCCCCCCCCCCCCCGAGGGTCTTCCTCCAGGGGCAAATCAAGAATGGGCAACTTGGAAGTCTCTGAAGAGTCTTAGAAATGGGGCAGGCAGATAGAAAGACAACCTGGCAAAATGGCACTACCTATAACAGCGTTTCTCAACCTGGGGGTCGGGATCCCTTGAGGGGTCGCGAGGGGTGTCAGTAGGGTTGCCAAATACCATAAGAAAACACAGTATTTTCATTGGACATGGGGGTTCTGTGTAGGAAGTTTGGCCCAATTCTATCGTCGGTGGGGTTCAGAATGCTCTTTGTAGGTGAACTATAAATCCCAGCAACTACAACTCCCAAATATTAAGGTCTATTTCCCCCAAACTCCACCAGTGTTCACATTTGGGCATATTGAGTATCTGTGCCAAATTTGGTCCAGATTAATCATTTATTTGAGTCCACAGTGCTCTCTGGATATAGGTGAACTACAACTCCAAAACTCAAGGTCAATGCCCACCAAACCCAGTATTTTCTGCTGGTCATGGGACTTATGTGTGCCAAATTTGGTTCAATTCCATCATTGATGGAGTTCAGAATGCTCTTTGATTGTAGGTGAACTACAAATCCCAGTGACTACAACTCCCAAATGACAAAATCAATCCCCTCCAACCTCCCCCCACCCGTACTAAAATTTGGGTGTATTGGGTATTTGTGCTAAATTTGGTCTAATGAATGGAAATACATTCTGCATATCAGATATTTACAGTATAATTCATAATAATAGCAAAATTACAGTTGTGAAGTGGCAACAAAATTAATTTTATGATTGGGGGTCACCAAAACATGAGGAACTGTACTAAGGGGTCGTGGCATTAGGAAAGTTGAGAACCACTGGCCTAGAAGAATCCACCTTGTGTGACTGGAGCAGAACAAACGACTCTGCATCTGTATGCTTGTCCACAATGCCCTGTCACATGCACAGAGGAAGAATTGTTTAAAGTTACAGGCAATGTGGTCGCTGTTGCCTGTTTTTGGTCAAAAATTATTTAACCACTTGTGTACCCTCTGTTTTTATCAGTTTTATACTTAGTTATGCAATTCTTTTGACATGAAATAAATAAAGAATGCGGAATACTCAACTCGTCTTCCAAAAAGTGCAGTTCCAGCTTGAATTAGGAGTTGCTTTGATAACACTTTGTACCTGGGTTATAAATGTCATTTCTTAATTGGTTCTATCATAAAAAATGAAAAAGTTTTATTAAACTGCAAAAACTTTGTTTTGGCAGGTCATCCTGCAGCACATTTGCTGTAGTTTTTCAATGATTGAAGAGCTGTTCAGCAGTGGAATTCTCTGCCCCAGAGTGTGGTGGAGCAGGCCCGTAGTCAGGATTTCGTTTCGGGGGGGGGGGGGGGGGGGGGGGGGGGGCTGAGTCTGAGTGAAAGATGGTCTAGCCTAGCAAACCTTTTGTATCGTTACCCCAATACCCCCATGCATATGGGATATATTGAGTATGGTGATCAGATCATGATATGAATAAACATAACAGTTTAAATAATGCACCAGTAAGGCCTTTTCGCGAACCACCATGAGAATTTCGGGGGGGGGGGGGCTGAAGCCCCTCAAGCCCCCCCCCCCTCCCGGCTACATGCCTGGGTGGAGGCTCCTTCTTTGGAGGCTTTTAAACAGAGGCTGGATGGCTATCTGTCAGGTATGCTATTTTCCTGCTTCTTGGCAGGGGGTTGGACTGGATGGCCCATGAGGTCTCTTCCAGTTCAAGGATTCTACGGTTCTGTATCAAGTCTCAACCAATTCAACATAGTTTCTGGAGTATAACAACTACTTTCAATGTAAATACTGCACAATTAAACAGGAAATAGCACTTTCAAGCCAGGAACAGAAATTTTCTCAAATTTTGTTACATAGTGTAATTTGAGAACAGTGGTCCCATCTACACTGCCATACAATACAGTTTGAAACTTTATCATAAGGTAATGTAGATGGGGCTTCAGTCATTAGAACATGTTATATCATTCAGGATCCCTTTGCCTCATTTGTGAGCAGGTACAAAAGGAACAGCATATTCATATAATTTTTGAAATTCATAGTTCCATCCCCAAATGAGTAAGGAGATTTATATCTTAAATTGTCTGATTGTTTCAGATCTTATGATATAATTATCACTGGTAAATCTTTGTATGTTTTTAAAAACACATATTTTCTACTTGTGTCAGGAATGTGGGCATCTAATCAGTTGTGTGCATTTACTCTCATTTTCTCATTTTGTACGTACTGCCCCCCCCCCCCACCTTCTTTGAAAAATATTTGACAAACTTCCAAAACTAGATTCCAACACGTACTTTGGTACAGACCCATCTTTCTGGCTCTTAGAGCCATATGTGATGATTGGAATGGAGTCCTGGATGCTGCACCTTTAAATCAAATGCCACGTCAATTTCGGCACATCAGCACTCTTTCCCCAATGAGGCCGTCAGGAGAAAAGGAATGATGTCTCTCTTGGTACTTCCAATGACTCATAGAGATGCGAGATGCACACGGCCCCATCTGTCATAGCAATGCAGAGCCAAAGCGAGAACTGCTCCTAATTACTTGGAGAAAATAAAGATTTGTCGTTTTGTAGATCTAGAGCTATGAACAAGGGAGAAATTTCCATCATCATTTCAGGCGGACAGGGATCACAAATGCTAGAGCTGGAGGCAACTTGTAGAATCCTAGTTGGAAGTGAACACAAAGCCATCCAGTCCAATTCTGGCATCCGTTCTTTGTGTTTTGTGTGATCATCCTTCAGTCCTCAAATGGGTTCCTATGTAATCATCTGCACAGTTAAACCACTTTCTTCAATGCCAGTCTGGAACGGCATTAAATAGTTAGTGTAAATAGAGCTGATATTTAGCTTCCAAAATTAGTCAAGATCAGGTATGATCAAATTGAGTCTGAGTTTCATTCAGGTGCCTATTCAATTCAAAGTAATTTTCTTATGCAATTGATTTACTCAGGCTACCATCATTTGTCTGATCTGTACTCAACTTTATTAACTTGCATTTAGTCCATCTTTGATCTACTTGACACCATTTAACAGTAATATCTCACTCACTCAATATGGTAGAAACCATGTTTTTGCTTTGCAAGAGCGATGAAGAAATGTGATTGCCAAGATAGCCCGCAGCATCAATAATCTAATTTCCTCTGGGACCTAAAAGATTAAATTCTGTCCCTTAATCTAGCTATTCAAACTCTGTATTCTCCACACTTGGGGCCATCACAAGATTGATTTTTCAGATTGTAATTAATCTGCTACTGATGGCTGCTTTTCCAGGAGAATC